CATCTCAATAAAAAAAAGCTGCAGTGAAATCAGGCATTTAGGACCCAAACAAGCCAGCAGAGAGTTAAGTTAATATCATAAACGTGTGACTGGGACGATCTGTATTCGGGGACAGCAGCCCTACAGGTCGCAGATGGAGGAAGAAACAGAGAAGAAAAACAGCGAGAGGCACAGAGAGGACGATGCTCACATTTTCCCTGATCTTGTGTTCTTTGAGTGCCCATTTTATCTCAGATAAAGGACACTTAGTGATATTTGTTCTCTTCCAGTAAGACCCTCAGGCAACTCTCCTCCTCTGCCATGCATACACTCACACACAAACACACATCGTAGTTCTGTTTGTACTTTAAATTACTGAACACAGACCCTGTATCCTCTTGACTTCCGTTTCAAATTGTAATCAAATCACTCTTCTTCAGTCATTGAATATACAATTACACTGTATTCTTAAATAACATTAAAGATAATTGATTCAGCCACTTGACTGTGGCTTTCTGAAATCTCCTTTGTCAGTGTGGCTCTGACTCAGCTAACAGCGTTCAGACTAACACAAGGAGAAAAGAAAATGGACGCAATTTCCTCTTAATGTACAAGTGTTTGTGTCGATGCTTCAGAGGGTCAATCCCGGTCAAATTCAGAGAGAAAGAAATCATTTTTTATCTTCAGATAAACGGTCTTTCTGTCCGCCAGCAATTCAGAACATAATACCACGTTCCTGTCTAGAAGAAAGTACCCTTTATGTCCCGGCACAGTATCCTCTTGAAGGCCTTCCTGAAATCATTGTTGAAGATGGTGTATATGACCGGGTTGAGGCAGGAATTGCAGTAGCCAATCCAGAAGAAGAATTTAAACAAGGGGTTTGGGATGCTGCAGGTCTTCGGGCACACCGCCTGGAGAGAGTAAGAGAAGAAAAATGGGAACCAGCAGATCACAAACACTCCCATCACGACAGCCAACACGAAGGTGAACCTCTTCTCCCGGTTCACCATGGCTTTGCGGCGGGAAATGGGTGTCCCCTGGATCTTAGGTGTTTCCTCATGTACCAGTTTGGTGCCGGATGACGTGGCCATAGTGTTTCTGTACCTGCAGGCCAGGTTCAGCACCTGAACTTTAAACCCTTTGCTTGCTCCCGTAGTTTGCTCGTCAGCCTTGTTCGTCTCTACTTTCCCGTCCGCTCCCTCCAGCTCGCAGTCGGAGCCGGAGCTCGAGAAGTTGTCGGGAAGCGCCTCGCGGCCTTCTTCGGGATTGGTCTGGGGCTGTTTGTGGGGAACAGCTGAAAGGATTTGGGGGATTGCCGGAGCTGCACTCGAATCAGGAGGGCAGTCTTGGCTCGGGATGTTGCCAGGCGGGTTTTGATGCCATAACGCGGTTGAATGCGAGCCAGACATTTTGTTCAGGACTTTATCTTGTTGGCAGGCAGTCGTACCTCCTTGATCCCCATTCTGTTCTGACTCTAACTTCACTGGAGGCTCGCTGGTTGCCACAACTGCGTTTCCTCCTGCTACCGATTTGTGCTTCTGTCCGGGCGGGCAGCGTGTATGCTGCTTGGCGATCTGATAAATCCTTATATACACCAGAATCATTATCACACACGGGGCGAAGAACGAGCCGATTGTGGAGTAGAGAATATACCAGCGTTCGTTGTTGAGTTCGCACACCTCTTCGCCTCCCTCGCTCTTGTCGAGGGTGAGAAGAGGAGGGAAGGAGATGACCGCGGAGATCAGCCAGACGACGATAATGGCCGCCTTGATGCGTACAGGAGTGCGTTTGGCGCCGTAGGACACGGGCCGGGAGATCGACAGGTAGCGGTCCAGTGCTATTGCGCACAGGTGCACGATGGAGGAGGTGCAGAAGAGAACGTCCAGCGCCAGGTAGATTTCACACCAGATGGAGCTGAACGCCCAGTAGCCCTGCAGCTCGTTCGCCAGCGAGAACGGAATAATGAGCGTGGCCACTAAGATATCTGCAGCAGCCAGCGACACCAGGAACAGGTTCTGAGCACCCTTTAGCGAGCGCGACGTCAGGACAGCTATGATGACCAGGATGTTCCCAACGATGGTCAGGAGCATCATGAACGTGATGGCAATGGCAAAGGCGGCGGTGGCTTGCGGGGTGTAAGGCGAGGTCCTGACGGTGCTCCGGTTGCAGGGGCGGGTGCCGGAGATGAGGCTGATGTTCCTGTTGGGGAGTCCGCCGAGCTCCGACAGGCAGGGCGCGTCTGGGGCAGCTGCCATGGTGGTGATGGGGAGGGAGCTTTATGAACGGACTCTTAGAGGGTGAGAGACAGCAAAATGGCGTTTCTGTGGTAAACCATCGAGGATCTGGAGTTCCCCGTTAAGAGGAGAGACTGAGGTGGGCGGAGTCAAGGTGAAGCCATGTGATCTGTGATGAGGACCTACGAGAAACAGAGACAAGATATGAGTATTTTATGTAATTTATGTTATTTTGCATCGTTTTTTGTATATTTTTCTATTTTCAGAAACAAAACTTAACACATAACATCCAGGACACGTAAAGCATTTACAGTGTACCAGGGAGCCATTTTTACTCAGGTAGATGTAATGTAAAGAAGTAAAACGACTTATTAATTGATCGGCTGTTTCTGAGCAGAACTACCTGAAACCTTTCCTACTGTTTTGGTACTTTACCACTTTTACCACTTTTACCAATTCCTTCCTGTTTTGATGCCATGAGAGAGCTACAGAGCGGGGGTGTAGAGTTTAAGCTACTTTATACTTTTACTCACATTCATCTCACAGCTTTAGTTACTTTGCAGAGTTACACTTTGTACAGATTTTAGTAGATACATTTTACTGTATTTTATTCTCTTTCTTTACCTTTTTACACTACATTCCTCTCTGCTGTTGTGCCAAATTGTACATCAAAATATACACATTTATAAGATTAAACCAGTGCTTCTGAACCTTTTTATCTGGAGATGTGTATATTCTTTTTTTAAAGCGTCCCATCCAGCAAAGAAAACACCCTAAACAGCGACATGTAAGAGCGACCTCTCACTCACGTTTTAATTTCTGCTGCTTGACTTCAGGCAGTTAGGATCGTTATGAAATGAACATCAGATAAAGAAGAGATGCAGCATCCATACAGGCCCTACAAACCGTGAGACAACTACATTATTATGCATTCACTCCATCCACTCATGAAAATTGAGTCACGGCTTCACCATTTTAGAAAAAAAACATTCAGCTGGCAGAACAATGCTGACTGATGCACAACGCCAACTGGAAAAAATGCTGTTTGTATTTGTGTTTCAGACGGAGACCGTGGAACTGGTTGTGGCTTTTTAACATCAAATATGTAAAAAAAATACACTTCTAAATACTTCAGTAGCTGCTGTTTTAATTACAGCCTTGTTTATGATACTCTGTGACCACAAGCCTGTGAGAAAGCAATACATTCTGCTATTCTGTCCTGTAAATCAAACTTTTTCCATAAAAAATGACTGCCCTTCTCCGTGATACTGCAGCGCTGAATGAGAACACGATCATGGTTTCAGATGTAAATGTTGGAGGCTAAAACAGTTGAAATCATCAATTTAATTTACGAAAGACACAAAGAGTTTGTGTGTCAGGACTTGTTGTTTTTTCTGACTTCCTCTCTCATTAATCACCTGATGACCCTCAAACCCAGATTACAAATAATCTGCTCAAAATTCATCAAACTGCTCGTTTTACACAAACTCCTGCAGATATTGTGTTCACTGTTTGTGTTCACTGTTCAGTTTATCAGCTGTTAATTTCCATAGAATAATGTCACTGTGGTTTAGATGAATTCTGATGTAATATTTCCTGTAAATATTACATCAGAGGTAAGTTAAGTCATACAGAGTTAGATGAAACACTGAGATATCGGCCGACTGTGTGAAGTTTTCTTACAACCCTTAAAATGAAGAAGACCTCGCGACCCCCTGTGAAGCATTGGCAAGCCCTAGTGGAGGGTCTCGACCCTCAGGTTGGGAACCACTGCTCCAGAGAGTCGAGGTCTGATAGTATACTTCGGTCTGTATCTGTAGAATATGTGACAGACATTATAAATATAGTGTTTCTGTAGCAGCAGCAGCAAAAACGCTCTGTGTGCAGCGAGGCAGCCGTCACCCCTCTGCGTGGTCGAGGGCTCGGATTTATCTGCTTGGAGGGGTCGTGACCCCAATGCTGTATGCAATATAAAGCAGTTCATACTAGCTCCACCTGGAGCAGCTATAACAGTAAACTACTACTCTAACATCAGGATTCCCACAGGTCCTGGAAAACCTGTCAATTTAGATGTAGTTTAATTTAGTTTTCCAGTCATGGAAACACCTGGAAATTGATTAAAATGACCAAATATCCTAGAAATAACTATCTTGTCCTGGAAAATGTTTACTCAGATCGCCTCCATCAAGCTTTTTCTATCACTGACTAACTGACTATTTTATAGATTTTTTATTTTACGTACAACTGAAACGTACAACCCAAATACTGAAAGCTATACAGTGAATATTGATCAGAGATGAGTTTAGTAACCTTTTATACGATTCTCTGTCTGTGTTATGTATTTTTAACAATCATACAGACTCATTATGATTCATATTTGACAGATTTAGTGTTTTTTGCTCTTTGTTCTATCAGCTCTTTGGTCGATTTCTAACACAGGATGAGACTGTTGATCAGAGAGTGAAGCTCTGTCTGTTCAGCTCTTCAAAGTTTAGATCTTAAATAATAATATAAGGTTTAAAAATAAACTATTTCATTTCGTTTTCTTCCAAAAACTGACAAAAATACTGAGCTATAGACCGACTGTGTATATATTTTGAGTTTTATTACACCCCTTAAAATAAAAAAAAAATAAATTTAAAATGAAAAAGACAGCTTTGGCGACCCCTAGTGGAGGTCCTCACCCCCAGGTTGGGAACCAGTGAAACTGACTAATGAACCTGAAACTAATTTAAAAAAGAGCAATAAAACTGGAGGTTGTAAAATAAATAATGACTTAATATAACTAAGTTAATATTTTGAGATACTTTCTCACTATAATATTGTCAGAAATGAGCTTCCGTACAAAACAGTTTCTTTTCTGTGTTTAGTTGATTAAAATGTGCGTTTCACAGGCAGAAATACAGATGTTTTAACAGTAAACATGTGGCTGCACAGAAAGGAATCAGTACATTGAACATGTAGGACAGTAAACTGATGATCCAGAAGCTTTTTCATACTAACAAGCACAAATAAATGTGAACTCACTGGAATATCTTCTTCACTCCGGCTGCGTCATTCTGTGCCAACAACTTTAAAACTTAATTTTCTTACACGAAAATGCCGAATGAGGCACAAAGTGCACTGTGGATCAGATCTCCACAGCCTGGATCAGATCCCCACAGCCTGGATCAGAAACGGAGGGTCAGGGAGAAAATGCACAAATAGATCCGAGGAGATAAAGCAGGAAAAAAAAAACACTTTTCTTTAAAAAGTAAATCACAAAGATTGTGGGTAGATCCGCATTCAGGGCTCCTCTTTACATCCCGGGTTTGTGCTTCCAGTCCGGACTCTGGAGACGGACTCTGCTCGCTCGGGGCTGATGTGCAGAAACTGATGCGGATGTTACCGGATAAACGAGGACGCGCTTTTTTACGCGCAGCTTCAGCGCGGCAGAGCTGAAGTATTTTACTACA